AATGTGGTGTAGAAAATGACGTGAAGTGCATCACATGAAAATTGAGAAGCTACATTTTGACGAAGCCATCAAAGGTCTTTAGCGAGATAGTGAGTGGGACAGTTATCTATTACCTAGCACGGAGCTGGGGTTTTTTTTTGTTTTTTGTTTTTTTTGGTATTGAACGATTTACACCTACAACGAAAGGACAACCTGGGCTTGAAAAGACAACAGTAATGAAATTATATGAAACCAGTTCTATTCTTTGCACGATGCTTGTCTTCATGATACCTTACTCGTTACATTAAGAAAGAAGCCAGTGTATGAATGGCGGTGTATAGATCGTTTTACGATCACACTCCAGTTGACTCACGTCCATTCATAATGTTATTCTATCATCTTCAGACTCACTACGACTTACCCAGTAAAAGCGTCCCTGCTGATTCGCTGACAAAATTAATCATAGAAGATTGAATAGCGTATAGAGATTGCTGTTGAGCGGGAATTTAGATTTTGCTAGTGCTGCATATTTATTATCATAAAAATTGAATATCATGGTCAAGACTGTTCCGAAAAAAAGTGGTAGTTAGGGGGGGGTGAGACTGGGGAGTTGCTTTTTTTTAACAGAATAGCGAATGCCCCAGTTGTCTAAGCTTATAATTATAGTGCCTACATATTTCTCAGGACTAAAAAATCATGTTTCAAAGCACTACCTGAGCAGTCATTTAATTTTATTTTTCCTTTTGCATTGACACATTCAAAAGACATGAAGCAAAAACACGCGAGAACACCACGCGACAGTTGACATTAGGTATTAGAATAATAGCAACAAGGCTGGCACTGATAATTCAGGTGTTGTTGCCCTGGTCTATGGTGCGGATGACCGTGGTTCAAATATTTGACGGGACGTTCTTGAACTCGGGTTGCTTTGGGAGTTTTAAGGGTTGTCATCCCACTCAGCTAAGACTTATATCGGAGATGGACGTTAAATATCAAGATCTCGTGTATGAAAGGACCATCGTGTGCTTACATGGGCTTTTAACCACGTAGCCTTCATAATACTATAATAACACTGGAAATAATTAGAAAGGGCAGGTCTTATCAGAGTAATCACCGCTCACCAAAAAAACCTAAAGCCACATGAAGTCGGAGGTCAGGGTGGGAGCGGGATTAGCAAGCATGCTGAGAGGCATTGTGAGGTGTACTGCTTCTGTGGAGTTGCTATGTGTGGGTGGTTGGCGGGTGCTCTGGTGTGGTTGGCTTCTTCTTTCCTGTCGTCCTTATCTCCCCTCCTTCTTTTTATGCTCGTTACTCTCTTGTAACACCTCTAATCTTCAGACGCTCATTATGACCGTATGCAGTTGCGAGCGCCGTAAACCCTCTACTAAAACAAACAAACAAGGAGTTGCTATGACCTCTATCTGAGTTATGCGAAGTGCAAAGCCCGTGGCGCGCCCTCTCATTTCAAACAAGAACTGGAGATAAAAAAACCACAAAAAAACCCAAACCCATCCCTTGTTAAGACAACACATTAAAATATGCAAAGAAGCCACTAAAAAAACAACACCAAACAAACCCATCTCTTGTTAAGACAATACATTAAAACATGCAAAGAGAACTCGCGTGTACTTTCTATTACACATCAAGACAATAATTAACAACTCATTAGGCCTTCGGAACTCATAAATTTATTTGGTTAGGCGATGTAGACTCTGTGTTGTCTTACTTTTCCAACATTGAACTACCGTATTTGCTTTAGAAAAAATGCGAGTTTTAAGTCCCCAGCAAGATGGGGGGTCGGAGAGTTTTCCTTAACACTTCCGCCGCCAAAGGTTGCCTCGGCTTAACCGTTGGCTAATATCATTAACCCCCCTGTGTTCGTTTACTCGCAGTGTTGTGACCCATTTACATTTTCCCCCCATTATGTTTCTCCTTTTGAAATAACTTTTGGTTGTTCTTTTTTTCTGCACATAGGACAACGCCTCAGTGTAAATAGAGTGCACGTGTGTTCAATTTTTGTTTGTTTGGTTTCCTTTGCTTAAAAATGTTCTTTCTCTCTTTTTTTTGTTTGTTAGCTCGAAAGGGGAGGAGAGAGACAGACAGACAGACAGACAGACAGACAGACAGACAGACAGACAGACAGACAGA